GGTGTCATGTGTGTGTCTTCAAACAGACGTTTATCCATATGATTATTCCTATTAGTTATACCGAGGTGTTGGCACTCGTGTATGCCTATATGCGTACTGTCACGCGTGTTTCCATGCACACGTGATGTACTTCGTGTCTCCATGCAAACGTAGTGTCACGCGTCTCTCCATGCAAAACGTGGTGTCATGTGTGTGTCTTCAAACAGACGTTTATCAAAATGATTATTTATCATAATTATATTTAGATGGATAGAGAGAGATAGATAGACATACGAGGTGTTTGACTCGTGTCTCTATGCAAACATGATGTAACTCGTGTACGTATACATACATTCATACACACACACACACACACACACACATACAAACATACATAGAGGCGTACAATTGTGGTGTCACTCGTAGGCGTGTGCCTCCAAGAGGACTGGGGAGGGTGTGGGTTCTTTTGGATTGTTGTTTGTGTTGGCAAAGCAAAGGATGAAAGCGTTCTTTCAGGTGAGATGGGTGGCCCTGAAAAGGGCCGTTTTGAAGAAGAAGAAGAAGAAGAAGAAGAAAAAAACTTTTCTGCTACTGTCCAAGAAGCAACATCATGTCCAGTCTTATTGCAAGACAAGGATCGTCGAAGCGTAATTTGCTGCCATCTGGGTATGTCATCTGGGTGCCCTGCGTGGCACAACTTGTGGGTCCAACAAAGAAAAGCTTGTTGGTAACAGGAAGCAGAAATAGACTGAACCATCCACAACAACAGCAGTAACAGCAACAGCAGCAGCAGACAAACGGGAACTTGAACGGGAACTTGAACCGGAACAGGAACAGGAACACAGGAAACGGGAAACGTCCTCCTAGGCAGTCGGCCATGCTACACCATTCGTGTTCCTCTGATCGAAATCTGACCAATCAGAAGCCTGGGTTTTCCACCAATCAGAGGCCGCCTTTGCCCTGGGCACCCAGATGACACCATAAGCAGTCAAGATAAGCAGAAGACTCCCCATGGCCCATGTTACAACTGCCAAGTCGTGGGTCATTTCGCTGCAGATTGCCCAGAACCCAGTCGAAAGAAGACTTCAGCAGCGTCGTTCATGTCGACACCAGTGACACCAGTGACACAAGTGACACAAGAGCTTCATCTCATAGAAGCCCTGCATATCGATGTCCGTGCCCTAAAACTCCTTATGGGCATTACACGAGGTCTAGGAAAAAAACAAACGCGACAGAAGCCCCTCAAGAAAGCACTCTTCAAAGCGCCGACGACGTCATCAGTCTGAGGAGGAGGAAGAGGTAGAGGATGAAGAAGATAGATCATCTGAGCAAAGACTAACGCATGGGACATGCTGCTCCACTGTTTTTCCAGTTTCCAATCGTTTCCTGTTTCCAGTTTTTGTAGTGTTCCAGTGTTCCTACAGTTTCTTACCGTTTCCAGTTTCCAGTTTGTTTTCCAACGGCCCTTTTCAGGGCCACCCATCTCTCCCAAAAGGACGCTTTTCATCCTTTGCTTTGACGACCCTCAAAGCAAAACAAAGAACCCACCTCCTCCTCCTCCCTTCCTCCTTCCTCCTCTCCCTCCTCCTCCTCCTCCCTCCCTCCCTCCCTCCTCCGGATGTGACGTGCTCTTGGAGGTGCGCACGACTCCCGGAAACGGACATGTCGCCATCTTGGATAAGCGCGCCACCGGAAACGGAAGTACCGCCATCTTGGATGCGCACGCATCACCGGAACCGGAAGTGACGTTATCACGGGTGCGCAAGGACTGGGTAGATAGATGCCCTGGACACGGTTCATTCCCTCATCAGTTGTTTAAAAAATCATTGATTTTAGTTAAACATTTAATAATATCCTTGTGCTGTTACAGCGTAACAGTTTTCCGCAAAGTATGCTCCCTGACTGTCGGAACTCTCCTGTGCACGAGTCAAATTTGTTGTTGCGTAAACGAGACAAACCACGCCGTCCGCTCTCGCAATAAGAAAAATTAGGTTTTGACCACTTGTGACACACCACATTGTGAGTATTGGCAGTATATGTATGATAGTATGGTTGAAATTGTTTGTGTACAGTTTAATCAGGCTGTCATAGGATAATATGTCATGAATTCGCTTTGACAAGCCTTGTAATGTGACTAGGTTTTCGCGCGTTTTTTGAATATGCTGACGTATTCAATTTATGTGTTCGATTTCCCTTATAATTTATTGTCGCATAAGGTTATATGTAAAAGGATATTTCTTACGTTGTTTAGGTGTGTCTTTAAGGCATTTTGGACTAATAGTTGTTATATTTGTTGTATAGCAAATTACCGTAATTATCTTAAAATGTGGACACATTTTGTTAAACACATGATATCATATGCTAGCGACCAGGTTAAGTAACCATTTGTGTTTGTATTTCTTACAGCCTTTTACCCTTTATGAGAACCTCCATCTACAGAATAAACACCTTCAAATCTGATGACACTTGTACCATCATTTCTTGAATGGAAGAGGTTCGGGGTTATCTGACTTGTAGCTCGCAAGGGTGATGCAAGTACAATCCTATACAGAAATGGTATTTGCAAACGTTGACATGTATGTGTTGTGTAAAGCTATTATTAATTCCCTATTAACAATGGGTATAAAAATTGCACATTTTGACAAAATGGGGGTTGGGATAACACATTACCATTTTTTTCAAAAATCATAAAAGTTATGTGGAATATGAACACTGCCATCTCATAATAAGACGTGTCGGCTCATTTTGAGAGATAAAATGGATTAGCGGATAATACTAATAATTCATATCAGTTAATTTTCCATTAATTGGAAAGTGAAAATAGAGCGAAATTTACCATTGTTTGGCTTATTTTTACTAAAACCTTAATTTGTGAGAGTCTTTAATTAAGTTTACTCTGTGTAAACTATCATACATGATAAAATAAGAACTCAATAAATACACTACCTTTTAAGGGGACGTTATTTGTATTTGATTTTGTTCTGTGTTTTTTTCATAACAAAAATGGGCATTTGGACCCCAGAACATGTTGCAGCATCTCCCACCAAAACACTTGACCACAATCATCATTTTCTAGTCTGTTGGATGCAAAAACATAAAGAAATCTAAGTTTGCTTTGTATTACTATGGTGTGGAGTATGTCGGCAGTTTGAGGGTATGGCCACTGCTCTAATAATGCTCAAGAGTGAAAACTGTCAACCGCTTAGGAACATTGCTTGGCAACGGGTTGTTGACTACATGTCTAAAGTAAGAACAATAATCACGCATTGTCTATTGTTGGTGTTTGATGTACAAGTCAGCCAGCAAAGTTACCCAGCCAGCAAAGCAACACGTTCAACCCTAAGACTCTGACATTTAATATAGTTATTAAATATATATATAGTTAAGCCTCAGATCTACAGAGAACCTGGTATCTAGTGTGCATTGCGTGAATCTCCAGTTAATACCCTTTAACTGATTTCACATTTTGATGGAAGTGTTGAGATTATCGCTTTTGGGGGGTCGTCTTACTCTTGGAGGACAGCATGTGTTACGTCACGATGGCTGAAGTGTAGACAACGGACATTTCTCAGGAAGGCGAAGTCCTCCACACGTCAGAGACTCACAAAGGATCCATAATTATGGTATAACACAGAGTGAAAAGGAGGGTCCATCATTGTGGTAAATTACAATGAGACAAGGAAGGTCCATCATTGCTGTATAACGCAGTGGGACAAGGAAGGTCTTTCATTGCGGTGGCATAATACAGTGGGACAAGAAGGGTCCATCATTTCGGTGGTATAACTCAGTGAGGCAAGAAGGGTCCATTATTGTTGTATACCACAGTGAAGCAAGGAGAGTCCTTCATTGTGGTATAACACAGTGAGACAAGGAAGGTCCTTCATTGCGGTGGTATGACATAGTGAGACAAGAAGGGTCCATCATTGCGGTGGTATAACACAGTGGGACAAGGAAGGTCCTTCATTGCGGTGGTATGACATAGTGAGACAAGAAGGGTCCATCATTGCGGTGGTATAACACAGTGAGACAAGAAGGGTCCATCATTGTGGTGGTATAACATAGTGAGACAAGAAGGGTCCATCATTGCGGTGGTATAACACAGTGAGACAAGAAGGGTCCATCATTGCGGTGGTATAACATAGAGAGACAAGAAGGGTCGATCATTGCGGTGGTATAACACAGTGAGACAAGAAGGGTCCATCATTGTGGTGGTATAACATAGTGAGGCAAGAAGGGTCCATCATTGTGGTGGTCTTACACAGTGAGACAAGGAAGGTCCATCATTGTGGTATAACACAGTGAGACTAGAAGGGTCCATTATTGTTGTATAACATAGAGAGACAAGGAAGGTCCATCATTGCGGTATAACACAGTGAGACAAGAAAAGACCATCATTGCGGTATAACAGAGAGATAAGAAGGGTCCATCAGCTTACTCAGGATAGCATGTGCACGTCACGACAGCTGAAGTGTGAACAACTGATATTTCTCACAAACGCGAAGTCCCCTAAGACATTAAATCTAGCCATGCACTGCTTCAAAACAGCGAAGCGAGGAGGAACCTTCATTATGTTATAACACAGTGAGATAAGAAGGGACCAGTATTGCGGTATAACATAGTGAGACAAGAAGGGACCAGTATTGTGTTATAACACAGTGAAGCAAGGAGAGTCTTATCATTGTGGTAGAACAATTTGAGGCAAGGAGGGTCCATCTTTGTTGTGAAATAACACAGTGAAAAAGGAAAGGTCCATTATGATTGTGGTATAACACAGAGAGACAAGGATGATTCATCATTGAGGTTGTAAAAGAAAGTGAGACACGGAGCGTCTACCCTTGTGGTGGTATGACACGGTGAGACAAGGAGGGTCCATCATTATGGTGGTATGACACGGTGAGACAAGGAGGGTCCATCATTATGGTGGTATGATACGGTGAGACAAGGAGGGTCCATCATTATGGTGGTATGATACGGTGAGACAAGGAGCGTCCATCAGTGTGGAATAACACGGTGAGACAAGGATGTACGCGCCTTCCTCCAGCCCCAACACAAGCTTGGACGCCCTGTTTCAGTGGTTGGAAGAGAGTGCCCATCCAACATCTCTGCAGGAGACCACTGGCCTCATCTGCATGTACGTCGCTTCCGCATCTTTCGCCATAGCCGACAACATCATCGTTCTCGTCATCCTTGGCCAGACCTTGGGCCGCCGGTCCCAGATATTCGTTTACCAGATGAACCTTGCCCTGGCAGACCTACTGATTTCCGTGTTCTGCGTACCCTTCACCTTCGCTCAGGCCCACGTGGGGTACTGGGCGTTCGGGAGCATCACCTGCCCCCTCATCCTCTTCTTACAGCTGTGTTTTGTAAACGTCAGTGCCTACACAAACGTAGCCATAGGTATGGACAGGTAAGTACAAGATAAGTATTTTACTAGTATCATTTAGTTCAGGAGTTAACATTTTTTCACCAGATTGATTTGCCCCCTGGTTAGTGCCTAGCGTTGTCTGCGTTCCATGCCAAGAGCGTTCAGATTTGTGACGTCCCTATTGTAATGACAGAAACACTGCTTAAACTCTCCAGGGCCCACTTGCACAAAGCGATCTGAGTGCTGAGACTATCGTAAGCCTATGTTAAAGTATGGGAGTTACAATCATCTTAGCGCTAAGATCACTTTGTGCAAGTGGGCCCTGAAGGTTATTTATTCTTACAACGTTAACAATAATTAAGATATTTTTCCTATTTATTATGAATTGAATCTTTTAAATAAAATTTCTTAGTAATGCATTTATTGGTCACTTAGGTTCTTTGGGGTTATTTTCCCCCTCAAGTGGAAGCCCACAGTGAACCAGCGGAAGGTGATTGTGTTTCTGGTGTGGTCCTTCTCCGCCATGATCGCCTTCCCGGAGGTCGTTGTAGGTCGGAGCAAAGAGCAGGACCTGGGAAATGGCACCCAGCCGCTGTGTAACGAGTACTGGCGGACCCCGAGACAGAAGGAGATGTACACCCTGGCTGTGGTCCTCCTCACCCTCATCCTGCCCCTCACAACGCTCGTCATCACCTACTCGTGCGTGGTGTACAGGCTGTGGATCCGGGAGACGCCGGGCAACGCCGACATCAGGAGGGACAGGAGGCGGTTGTCCTCGAAGAAGAAGGTGAGACGCTGAGTTGACTGACTGAGACGTTGTGTTGACTGACTGAGACCCTGAGTTGACTGACTGAGACGCTGAGTTGACTGACTGATACGTTGTGTTGACTGATTGAGACGCTGAGTTGACTGACTGAGACGTTGAGTTGACTGACTGAGACGCTGAGTTGACTGACTGAGACGTTGTGTTGACTGACTGAGACGTTGTGTTGACTGACTGAGACCCTGAGTTGACTGACTGATACGTTGTGTTGACTGACTGAGACGCTGAGTTGACTGACTGAGACGTTGAGTTGACTGACTGAGACGCTGAGTTGACTGACTGAGACGTTGTGTTGACTGACTGAGACGTTGTGCTGACTGAGATGTTGTGCTGACTGAGATGTTATGACTGAGATGTTGTTATGACTGATTGAAGTGTTGTGTTGACTTGTCTTGGTATTTGTACACGATACAGCACGCACCGTCTTGTTTTGGTGTCTATACACGATACAGCTCGGGCTGTCAGGTCTCGGTGCTTTACACAAAATAGCTCATTTGTATACTGGCTTGTTTTGGTGTTTATGTATGCTACAATTTGGACGCACCTGTATGGTAGCAATGTCTTTAAACAACTGTTGGTTTCAATGTGGTCTCAGCTCTTACATTACTGTGTATGTCGACATATACCTTACTGCCTGCGTTCTCTGTACAGGTGACCCGGATGTTGATCATCGTGGTTGTCATGTTCGCCGTGTGCTGGCTGCCACTTCATCTGTTCAACCTCCTCGTCGACTTTTACCCCGACCTCCTCCATTCCGCCCCCGAACACGTTGTTCAAACGGTGTTTTTTTCCTTCCACTGGGTCGCCATGTCACACGCCTTTATCAACCCTGTCATCTACCTCACGGCAGACGCTGACTTCAGAGTAAGATCACATTGTCTGCTGTAACTCAGTAGTCGTGTGGAACTGGCAATCCCTGCCGCACAGGGGCTGTAGCCCGTAATAGTTGTCGAGTGCATGGAATTAGGTGTACTGGAAATGTGGTTGTTATTTATTCTAGTGAAGTTCTAGATTACCTTAAAGTGTCAATGTGAACTGCTGTTATACTGAACATATCCATGTCATGTTCACAAAGCATTCCCAATACGTCACTAAGCACAACAACGTTAACTTTTCATTTTGAAAAAATCAAAATGTACGCCACAGCAGGATCTTCAGCCCACGCACTGACTTCAACTCCTCAGACACCATTGACTTGGGGCTCCAAATGGTTGATTCGGGATGGGGGCACGTATATCCATGTGTTAGGAATCAAACCCGTGACGAGCGAACACTTTAACTATTGGAAGTTCCGACCACCCAATTAAAAAACGCATTTGTATTACACAGAGTATGAAAGCTTTGACACTGAGCTCATGAAAAGAGATAATACCTTGAATCCCTTCCATCCAGCTCCCCTGTACAACCCCTCTTGAATCCCTTCCATCTAGCTCCCCTGTACAACCTCTGTTGAATCCCTTCCATCCAGCTCCTCTGTACAACCCCTGTTGAATCCCTTCCATCCAGCTCCCCTGTACAACCCCTGTTGAATCCCTTCCATCCAGCTCCCCTGTACAACCCCTATTGAATCCCTTCCATCTAGCTCCCCTGTACAAACCCTGTTGAATCCCTTCCATCCAGCTCCTCTGTACAGCCCCTGTTGAATCCCTTCCATCCAGCTCCCCTGTACAACCCCGGGTTGAATCCCTTCCATCCAGCTCCCCTGTACAACCCGTTGAATCCCTTCCATCCAGCTCCCCTGAACAACTGTTGAATCCCTTCCATCCAGCTCCCCTGAACAACTGTTGAATCCCTTCCATCCAGCTCCCCTGTACAACCCCTGTTGAATTCCTTCCATCCAGCTCCCCTGTACAACCCCTGTTAAATCCCTTCAATCCTGCTCCCCTATACAACCCGTGTTGAATTCCTTCCATCCAGCTCCTCTGTACAGCCCCTGTTGAATCCCTTCCATCCAGCTCCCCTGTACAACCCCTGTTGAATTCCTTCCATCAAGCTCCCCTGTACAACCCCTGTTGAATCCCTTCCATCCAGCTCCCCTGTACAACCCCTGTTGAATCTCTTCCATCCAGCTTCCCTGTACAACCCCTGTTGAATCCCTTCCATCCAGCTCCCCTGTACAACTACTGTTGAATCCCTTCCATCCAGCTCCCCTGTTGAATCCCTTCCATCCAGCTCCTCTGTACAACTGTTGAATCCCTTCCATCCAGCTCCCCTGTACAACAACTGTTGAAATTCTTCCATCCGGATCCCCTGTACAACCCCCGTTGAATCCCTTCCATCCAGCTCCCCTGTACAACCTCTGTAGAATCTCTTCCATCAAGCTTCCCTGTACAACCCCTGTTGAATCCCTTCCATCCAGCTCCCCTGTTGCATCCCTTCCATCCAGCTCCTCTGTACAACAACTGTTGAATCCCTTCCATCCAGCCCCCCTGTACAACCCCTGTTGAATCCCTTCCATCATGCTCTTCTGTACAACAACTGTTGAATCTCTTCCATCCAGCTCCACTGTACAACCCCATTGAATCTCTTCCATCCAGCTCCCCTGTACAACAACTGTTGAATCCCTTCCATCCAGCTCCCCTGTACAACCCCTGTTGAATCTCTTCGATCCAGCTCCCCTAACCCCTGTTGAATCCCTTCCATCCAGCTCCCCTGTTGAATCCCTTCCATCCAGCTCCCCTCTACAACCTCTGTTGAATCCCTTCCATCCAGCTCCCCTGTACAACCCGTTGAATCCCTTCCATCCAGCTCCCTTGTACAACCCTTTGAATCCCTTCCATCCAGCTCCCCTGTACAACTGTTGAATCCCTTCCATCCAGCTCCCCTGTACAGCCCCTGTTGAATCCCTTCCATCCAGCTCCCCTGTACAACCCGTTGAATACCTTCCATCCAGCTCCCTTGTACAACCCTTTGAATCCCTTCCATCCAGCTCCCCTGTACAACTGTTGAATCCCTTCCATCCAGCTCCCCTGTACAGCCCCTGTTGAATCCCTTCCATCCAGCTCCCCTGTACAACCCGTTGAATCCCTTCCATCCAGCTCCCTTGTACAACCCTTTGAATCCCTTCCATCCAGCTCCCCTGTACAACTGTTGAATCCCTTCCATCCAGCTCCCCTGTACAGCCCCTGTTGAATCCCTTCCATCCAGCTCCCCTGTACAACCCCTGTTGAATCCCTTCCATCCAGCTCCCTTGTACAACCCTTTGAATCCCTTCCATCCAGCTCCCCTGTACAACTGTTGAATCCCTTCCATCCAGCTCCCCTGTACAACTGTTGAATCCCTTCCATCCAGCTCCCCTGTACAAGCCGTTGAATCCCTTCCATCCAGCTCCCCTGTACAAGCCGTTGAATCCCTTCCATCCAGCTCCCCTGTACAACTGTTGAATCCCTTCCATCCAGCTCCCCTGTACAACTGTTGAATCCCTTCCATCCAGCTCCCTTGTACAAGTCGTTGAATCCCTTCCATCCAGCTCCTCTGTACAACAACTGTTGAATCCCTTCCATCCAGCTCCCCTGTACAACCCCTGTTCAATCCCTTCCATCATGCTCCCCTATACAAACCCCTGTTGAATCTCTTCCATCCAGCTCCACTGTACAACCCCTGTTGAATCCCTTCCATCCAGCTCCCCTGTACAACCCCTGTTGAATCCCTTCCATCCAGCTCCACTGTACAACCCCTGTTGAATCCCTTCCATCCAGCTCCCCTGTACAACTACTGTTGAATCTCTTCCATCCAGCTCCACTGTACAACCCCATTGAATCTCTTCCATCCAGCTCCCCTGTACAACCACTGTTGAATCCCTTCCATCCAGCTCACCTGTTGAATCCCTTCCATCCAGCTCCCCTGTACAGCAACTGTTGAATCCCTTCCATCCAGCTCACCTGTAAAACCCCTGTTGAATCCCTTCCATCCAGCTCACCTGTTGATTCCCTTCCATCCAGTAAGGCTTGTGATAGCCTTTGTAAGACAACAATATTGATTTATTGACATTTTTTTTAAGTAAGGCTTGTGATATCGTCTGTATGACAACAATATTGATTCAAGGACATTGTTTATAGTAAGGCTTGTGATAGCCTCTGTAGGAGAATAATATTGATTCAAGGACATTGTTTAAAGTAAATCTCGTGGTAGCCTCTGTATGACAACAATATTGATTCAAGGACATGGTTTGAAGTTAGGCTTGTGATAGCCTCTGTATGACAACAATACTGATTGAAGCACATTGTTTGAAGAAAGGCTTGTGATAGCGTCTGTATGACCGCAATATTGATTCAAGGACATTGTTTGAAGTAAAGCTTGTGATAGCGTCTGTATGACAACAATATTGATTCAAGGACATTGTTTGAAGAAAGGCTTGTGATAGCGTCTGTATGACAACAATACTGATTGAAGCACATTGTTTGAAGAAAGGCTTGTGATAGCGTCTGTATGACAACAATATTGATTCAAGGACATTGTTTGAAGAAAGGCTTGTGATAGCGTCTGTATGACAACAATATTGATTCAAGGACATTGTTTGAAGTAAGGCTTGTGATAGCCTTTGTAAGACAACAATATTGATTCAAGGACATTGTTTGAAGTTAGGATTGTGATAGCCTCTGTATGACAACAATACTGGATTTTGATAGCCTGTGTATGACAACAATACTGATTGAAGGACATTGTTTGAAGTTAGGCTTGTGATAGCATACACCTCCCCTGTACAACCCCTGTTAAATCCCTTTATTCCTGCTCCCCTATACAACCTCTGTTGAATCCCTTCCATCAAGCTTCCCTGTACAACCCCTGTTGAATCCCATCCATCCAGCTTCCCTGTACAACCCCTATTGAATCCCTTCCATCCAGCTCCCCTATACAAACCCCTGTTGAATCCCTTCAATCCAGCTCCTCTGTACAACCCCTGTTGAATCCCTTCTATCCAGCTCCCCTGTACAACCCCTGTTGAATCTCTTCCATCAAGCTTCCCTGTACAACCCCTGTTGAATCCCTTCCATCCAGCTCCCCTGTTGAATCCCTTCCATCCAGCTCCTCTGTACAACAACTGTTGAATCCCTTCCATCCAGCTCCCCTGTACAACCCCTGTTCAATCCCTTCCATCATGCTCCTCTGTACAACAACTGTTGAATCTCTTCCATCCAGCTCCCCTGTACAACTACTGTTGAATCCCTTCCATTCAGCTCACCTGTTGAATCCCTTCCATCCAGCTCCCCTGTACAACAACTGTTGATTCCCTTCCATCCAGCTCCCCTGTAAAACCCCTGTTGAATCTCTTCCATCCAGCTCCCCTGTTGAATTCCTTCCATCCAGCTCCCCTGTACAACCCCTGTTGAATCCCTTCCATCCAGCTCCCCTGTTGAATCCCTTCCATCATGCTCCCCTGTACAACAACTTTTGAATCCCTTCCATCCAGCTCCCCTGTACAACCCCTGTTGAATCCCTTCCATCCAGCTCCCCTGTACAACCCCTGTTGAAATTCTTCCATCCAGATCCCCTGTACAAACCCTGGACAACCGGCATTGATTCCATTCCATCAAGCTCCCTGAGAAACCCTTCCACCCACCTTTTCCTGTACAACCATGCAAGCATGTCCATCTGTCCATCCGCCCAGCACAAAGAGTTACACGTTGCACGCAGTATCACAGCTAGTCCCCAGATCAAAACATTACACGTTGCACGCAGTATCACAGCTAGTCCCCAGATCAAAACAGTGTGAAACCTTGTGATATTGCATGACACAGTGTGTGTCTTGTTACAGATTAAAGTATGGAAGCTCCTGACGTGCCGAAACCCCAATTGTGTCCGCCGCCGGCTCATGTCCAATACGACAACACGGAAGTCTGCCCTGCCGCTCACTTCCATCAGGAGGGCAAATCCCACCACACCAGAACCACAACACAGGAGCAACGGGAGGGACGAACACGCCAATGCCCCCCTCACACCCTCATTCAGTGCAGCCAAGCAGTTATTCTGAGAAGAAACATAGTTTCCCTTTCCTTCCTTGGCAACCTGTACGGCATCTCCTCCCTCCACAGGGCTGCTTGTGATAGCCTCTGAATAACAACAATATTGATTCAAGGTCATTGTATGAAGTTAGGCTTGTGATATCGTCTGTGTGACAATATTGATTCAAGGACATTGTTTGAAGTAAGGCTTGTGATAGCCTCTGTATGACAACAATATTGATTTATTGACATTTTTTTAAGTAAGGCTTGTGATATCGTCTGTATGACAACAATATTGATTCGAGGACATGGTTTGAAGTTAGGCTTGTGATAGCCTCTGTATGACAACAATATTGATTTATTGACATTTTTTTTAAGTAAGGCTTGTGATATCGTCTGTATGACAACAATATTGATTCAAGGACATTGTTTGAAGTAAGGCTTGTGATAGCCTTTGTAAGACAACAATATTGATTTATTGACATTTTTTTTAAGTAAGGCTTGTGATATCGTCTGTATGACAATATTGATTCAAGGACATTGTTAAAGTAAGGCTTGTGATAGCCTTTGTAAGACAACAATATTGATTCAAGGACATTGTTTATAGTAAGGCTTGTGATAGCCTCTGTAGGAGAATAATATTGATTCAAGGACATTGTTTAAAGTAAATCTCATGGTAGCCTCTGTATGACAACAATATTGATTCAAGGACATGGTTTGAAGTTAGGCTTGCGATAGCCTCTGTATGACAACAATACTGATTGAAGCACTTTGTTTGAAGAAAGGCTTGTGATAGCGTCTGTATGACCGCAATATTGATTCAAGGACATTGTTTAAAGTAAAGCTTGTGATAGCGTCTGTATGACAACAATATTGATTCAAGGACATTGTTTGAAGAAAGGCTTGTGATAGCGTATGTATGACAACAATACTGATTGAAGCACATTGTTTGAAGAAAGGCTTGTGATAGCGTCTGTATGACAACAATATTGATTCACGGACATTGTTTGAAGAAAGGCTTGTGATAGCGTCTGTATGACAACAATATTGATTCAAGGACATTGTTTGAAGTAAGGCTTGTGATAGCGTCTGTATGACAACAATATTGATTCAAGGACATTGTTTGAAGTTAGGATTGTGATAGCCTCTGTATGACAACAATTCTGGATTTTGATAGCGTCTGTATGACAACAATACTGATTGAAGGACATTGTTTGAAGTTAGGCTTGTGATAGCCTCTGTATGACAACAATACTGATTGAAGCACACTGTTTGAAGTTAGGCTTGTGATAGCCTCTGTATGACAAGAATACTGATTATCACACTGTTTGAAGTTTGGCTTGTGATAGCCTCTGTATGACAACAATATTGATTCCAGGACATTGTTTATAGTAAGGCTTGTGATAGTCTCTGTAGGAGAATAATATTGATTCAAAGACATTGTTTAAAGTTAATCTCGTGGTATTCTCTGTATGACAACAATACTGATTGAAGCACACTGTTTGAAGTTAGGCTTGTTATAGCCTCTGTATGACAAGAATACTGATTGAAGCACATTGTTTGAAGTAAGGCTTGTGATAGCGTCTGTATGACAACAATATTGATTCAAGGACATTGTTTGAAGTTAGGCTTGTGATAGCCTCTGTATGACAAGAATATTGATTCAAGGACATTGTTTGAAGTAAGACTTGTGATAGCATCTGTATGATAAGAATATTGATTGAAGGACATTGTTTGAAATGCGGCTCATGATAGCCTCTGTATGACAACAATACTTATTCAAGGACATTGTTTGAAGTTAGGCTTGTGATAGCATCTGTATGACAACAATATTGATTCAAGGACATTGTTTGAAGTTAGGCTTGTGATAGCATCTGTATGACAACAATATTGATTCAAGGACATTGTTTGAAGTTAGGCTTGTGATAGCATCTGTATGACAACAATATTGATTCAAGGACATTGTTTGAAGTTAGGCTCATGATAGCCTCTGTATGACAACAATACTTATTCAAGGACATTGTTTGAAGTTAGGCTTGTGATAGCATCTGTATGACAAGAATACTGATTGAAGGACATTGTTTATGTTAGACTTGTGATAGCCTCTGTATGACAAGAATATTGATTCAAGGACATTGTTTGAAGTTAGGCTTGTGATAGCCTCTGTATGACAAGAATATTGATTCAAGGACATTGTTTGAAGTTAGGCTTGTGATAGCATCTGTATGACAAGAATATTGATTCAAGGACATTGTTTGAAGTTAGGCTTGTGATAGCATCTGTATGACAAGAATACTGATTGAAGGACATTGTTTATGTTAGACTTGTGATAGTCTCTGTATGACTATTGACTTAAGGACATTGTTTGAAGTTTGGCTTGTGGTAGCCTCTGCATGACAACAGTATTGATTCAAGGACATTGTTTGAAGTTAGGCTTGTGATAGCCTCTGTGTAACAAGAATATTGATTCAAGGACATTGTTTATGTTAGACTTGTGATAGTCTCTGTATGACTATCGACTTAAGGACATTGTTTGAAGTTTGGCTTGTGGTAGCCTCTGCATGACAACATTATTGATTCAAGGACTTCATCTGAAAACAGCCCTTGGTTGAAGTTAGCAGTTGGTGATGTTATAAAAAGACAACAAGAAATAATATAACAAACAATGTGTATTTTTATTTTTTTTATTTTTCTTCAAATATCTTAATTCATGGTATAAAGGTATAATTGTGCAAACCAGGAATGTACATATGAAGTCACTCCATTGAAGCCGAGAAATAATCTAGCATTGTGCAAATATGTTGCAAGGGGAATCTCTTAAACTCATGACAACATATTCATCTCAAATAAGAGGCAAACTTAAAAAATAAAAGTAATTAAACGACAAATTCATTACATTTTTGGTTTTTCCTTTTTCATACTAAATACAGGAAAGCACTGCTATATGTATTTAGTATCACATTTATAAAACATGTATAAAACCCTCAATAAAATGTCCTAAAAGGAAATCTCTGCAATGACCTCACAGCTTGGTAACTTCGGACTGAGTTTGCCTGAACCAAGAGAGCACTCTTGGTAACCTCACGTTGATCAGTCTATCTCCAATAGTCATTCCTGCCTTAACGATGAGCAGAGGCTCAACATATATGAGCCCTTGTGTTATAGAATCTCTGCTATTCAGATCACGCCATCTGAAGCTTCCTTCCTCAAACATGATCATGTCTGTCTGAAGCTGAAGTAAGGAAGGTGTTTGCATCACATACTATGCAACAACATTATTATCCAAATCTTAGAACTAACTCTCAAAACTCCAATAATCCAACTGATTAACATATTATGGCATTATGTTATGGACTTTATTATGTCTCAATCACAGCAAATATAGGAAAAAAACAAATTAAATAGAAGATCTAGAATAACATAATAAATATTTAATAATGACATGCATTATCCCAGAGAAATATGAAAGGTCTGATCATACATGTATTGACAAAATATTGTGTAAAGTGGATAGTATGTATCTATTCTCATAGAACACAAAACAGTGTGTATTTATAGTGTATCTACTTGTATACAACTCAACTGTGTAAAAGCACAACTATTTGAACAACACAATGCACAATTTACTGATAGGGTTTGTCTTGTTGTAACACAATATTGTGTAATATTGATATTGTATCTATTTGTATACAACACAGCACAGTGTCATTTTGATAGTGTATATATTTGATTTCCTCACACTGGTGAGTTATCTGACATGATCTAGGTGTCAGTAATATCCGGAAGCATAGTACAAGAAAACCCTGTACCACCACTCATTTAATACATTCATATCCTCCATATTTAAGGGGTGGTCGGGTAGCCTGGAGGTTAAAGCGTTTACTCGTCACGCCGAAAACCTGGGTTCGGTTCCCAACATGGGTACAATGTGTAGAGCCCATTTCTGGTGTCTCGCGCTGTGATATTGCTGGAATATTGCTGGAATATTGATAAAAGCAGCATAAAACCATACTCACTCACTCACTCACTCCATATTTAATCTCTAAACAAACATAAGAGAACAAGGTAGACCTGGAACCCTCTATCAGATCATACTGGGGAGCAGTTCACACTGGTAATCAGTTGGTAGGCTAGCTGGTAGGGGAATCAGTTTGTAGGCTAGGCAGTAGGGGAATCAGTTGGTAGGCTAGCTGATAGCGGTATCAGTTGGTAGGCTAGCTGATAGGGGAATCAGTTTGTAGGCTAGGCAGTAGGGGAATCAGTTGGTAGGCTAGCTGATAGCGGTATCAGTTGGTAGGCTAGCTGGTAGGGGAATCAGTTTGTAGGCTAGGCAGTAGGGGAATCAGTTGGTAGGCTAGCTGATAGCGGTATCAGTTGGTAGGCTAGCTGATAGGGGAATCAGTTGGTAAGCTAGCTGATAGGGGAATCAGTTGGTAGGCTAGCTGATAGGGGAATCAGTTGGTAGGCTAGCTGATAGGGGTATCAGTTGGTAGGCTAGGCAGTAGGGGAATCAGTTGGTAGGCTAGGCAGTAGGGGAATCAGTTGGTAGGCTAGCTGACAGGGAAAGCAGCCAAGCACTGGAGTCAGACCGAAGTGTTCCCTGCCCTCACAGGTGATGACACGAGCTGGGCTACTGAGTATCTGTGTCAGTTGGTCAGGCTCAGCAAGGCCTCCATACAGGCAGTGTAGCAGAACAAATACTGATCCTGGGAAGAGAAATTGTCACCATTAACATTTGTCATTAAAGACAGACTATCTGAATGTCAGATCATGTCATAACAAAATGAAACACAACAATGTGCAACAAGTCAGCTTGACTATATCTCAATGATACATGCAGACACAGCAATGTAATGAGTAATGATGACATCTTCAACATGACAGCAATGATAAAATTGGATCAGATTTCCATGAGCAATTTTTTACACACCATTGCTGGAATAACATACATATAATTTCAGCTTAAAAAGCCATAAGGACTAGGTTTAAGAGGAAATTTCGAAAATGAAGTAAGTCTAGATTATTGGGGGTATGTGGAGGGGTAGACTGTATCAGGGGCAAACAGAATCAAACAAACATATTGTTCCTAATACAACATACATACTGCATAGTTATGAAATTTAAAATCAGATTAAAATTCTGGGAGAGCTTTATAGCTGGGAACACCATTTCAAAGTTTCAATAATGTTAAAGCGATAAATGTCGGACGGATGGACAAAGTGATAATACACTATACCCCCAAAAAGAATCGCAAGGTCTATAATGAATTTGAACATATTTATTTTCGAATACTTGTGAACACAATATTTAACAGCCGAGAATGTCAAGGTTTTACACAGATTTAGGGGAAAATTTGAAGGATTAAAGTCAGTGTCTCGTAAGCCCACCACAAGCGTTAATGATGGCGACACATCTTCCGCTGCGATATCCGCCTAGGTTGGAGGTCATTGAGACGTCTTTGGATCTCATCCCACAAGTGTTCTTTTGGATTCAAATCCGAACTGAGGGCAGGCCAAGGCATGGTGATGATGTTATGCTGCCTTAGGATGTCTCTAGTGGCTCTAGCCATATAGGGACTAGCTCTGTCCTACTGGAATACATGGCGTCGATGATGGGCGAAAAAGGGATAGACGTAAGGTCGGAGGACTTGGTCAATGTTGGCTGCGCTGTGACACCATTACCCCTGCCTGGACCAATATTTGGGAAGACCACAGGTGCAGGTCTTTGGTTCAGTCCACTGCTGCCCCTCATCATGATGCTTGGGGCTCCCCATGGGTTTCTTTCAAGTACACAAGCGTCTGCAAATCATTCACCTACCATCCTACCATCTGCCATCGACACAAATAAGACTTTCATCAGAGAAGATGATGTTTCTCCATTGCAGATGACGCCAATGTTGACGCTGTGTTGCCTATCGGAGATGTACCTGACCATGTCTGTCTGTAAGGAGGGGCACTCGAACAGGTCGCTGAGAAAAGATTATTGCTGGCGACTAAATGACGTCACACTGCATGGGCACTGATAGGTTGCTGGTGGCTGCCAATTGTCTGCCAAGTTGTTTCAGTGGCGCAGAGGAAACGGTTCTGCAGGTTCTGATGGCGATGCATGTTAAATCTTGTCGAGGCGTGACTCAGAGCCAACAACTACATGGACGGTCGTCGGTGCTGTTGGTGGTGTTGAGTCGTTGCTGCAATCGATATATTTTGTAATGTGCACATTAAGATGATTTGCGATAACCTGTGCACTCTGACCAACATTCAGTCTTCCAACAGCCTGTTGTCCCTCGTTGGCAGTTAATCTTACCATTGCTACTGTATCGATCTAATGACAGGGTTAGGGTAGCTTTTCCACCCATAGCTATCTCATTTTGCACATGCTTCTTGATTTGCACGAGAAATGTTCGCAACCTCTACCACAGACGTTTGTGAGGTTGCATTTGCGGTTTCAAGAAGGGTATGATGCAAGTAAAGGTTTACTTACACTCAATTCCCAAACAAAATGTATCCGAGCTAATATGACTTGTATCACAAATGTTTATAGATATTGTGTTCCTATAGGAGTTAAGTGTATTTGAGCCAAATGAGCTATCACATTATAACAGTGAAGCCAAAGTGAACCTATCATATAACAGTGAAGCCAAAGTGAACCTATCATATAACAGTGAAGCCAAAGTGAACCTATCACATAACAGTGAAGCAACAGTGAACCTATCACATAATAACAGTGAAGCCAAAGTGAACCTATCACATAACAGTGAAGCAACAGTGAACCTATCACATTACAGTGAAGCCAATGTGAACCTATCACATAACAGTGAAGCCACAGTGAACCTATTACATAACAGTGAAGCAACAGTGAACCTATCATAAAACAGTGAAGCCAAAGTGAACCTATCACATAAAAGTGAAGCCACAGTGAACCTATCACATAATAACAGTGAAGCCAAAGTGAACCTATCACATAACAGTGAAGCCACAGTGAACCTATCACATAACAGTGAAGCCAAAGTGAACCTATCATATAACAGTGAAGCCAAAGTGAACCTATCACATAAAAGTGAAGCCACAGTGAACCTATCACATAATAACAGTGAAGCCAAAGTGAACCTATCACATAATAACAGTGAAGCCAAAGTGAACCTATCACATAACAGTGAAGCAACAGTGAACCTATCACTTTTCAACAGTGAAGCCACAGTAAACCTATCACATAATAACAGTGAAGTCAATGTGAACCTATCACATAACAGTGAAGCCACAGTGAACCTATCACAAAACAACACTGAAGCCAAAGTGAACCTATCACATAACAGTGAAGCAACAGTGAACCTATCATATAACAGTGAAGCCAAAGTGAACCTATCACATAAAAGTGAAGCCACAGTGAACCTATCACATAATAACAGTGAAGCCAAAGTGAACCTATCACATAATAACAGTGAAGCCAAAGTGAACCTATCACATAACAGTGAAGCAACAGTGAACCTATCACTTTTCAACAGTGAAGCCACAGTAAACCTATCACATAATAACAGTGAAGTCAATGTGAACCTATCACATAACAGTGAAGCCACAGTGAACCTATCACAAAACAACACTGAAGCCAAAGTGAACCTATCATATAACAGTGAAGCCAAAGTGAACCTATCACATAACAGTGAAGCCAATGTGAACCTATCACATAACAGTGAAGCCACAGTGAACCTATCACATTACAGTGAAGCCAATGTGAACCTATCACATAACAGTGAAGCCACAGTGCACCTATCACATAACAACACTGAAGCCAAAGTGAACCTATCACATAACAGTGAAGTCAATGTGAACCTATCACATAACAGTGAAGCCACAGTGAACCTATCACATAACAGTGAAGCCACAGTGAACCTATCACATAACAGTGAAGCCACAGTGCACCTATCACATTACAGTGAAGCCACAGTGAACCTATCACATAACAGTGAAGCCAAAGTGAACCTATCACATAACAGTGAAGCCAAAGTGAACCTATCACATAACAGTGAAGTCAATGTGAACCTATCACATAACAGTGAAGCCACAGTGAACCTATCACATTACAGTGAAGCCAATGTGAACCTATCACATAACAGTGAAGCCACAGTGCACCTATCACATAACAGTGAAGCCAAAGTGAACCTATCACATAACAGTGAAGCCACAGTGCACCTATCACATTACAGTGAAGCCAATGTGAACCTATCACATAACAGTGAAGCCACAGTGCACCTATCACATAACAACACTGAAGCCAAAGTGAACCTATCATATAACAGTGAAGCCAAAGTGAACATATCACATAACAGTGAAGCCACAGTGAACCTATGACATAACAACAGTGAAGCCAAAGTGAACCTATCACTTTAGAACAGTGAAACCAAAGTGAACCAATCACTTTTCAACAGTGAAGCCACAGTAAACCTATCACATAATAACAGTGAAGCCAATGTGAACCTATCACATAACAGTGAAGCCACAGTGAACCTATCACATAACAGTGAAGCCACAGTGAACCTATCACATAACAGTGAAGCCACAGTGAACCTATCACATAACAGTGAAGCCAAAGTGAACCTATCACATAACAGTGAAGCCAAAGAGAACCTATCATATAACAACACTGAAGCCACAATGAACCTATCACATAACAGTGAAGCCACAGTGAACCTATCACATAACATTGAAGCCACAGTGAACCTATCACATAACAGTGAAGCCACAGTGAACCTATCACATAACAGTGAAGCCAAAGAGAACCTATCATATAACAACACTGAAGCCACAATGAACCTATCACATAACAGTGAAGCCACAGTGAACCTATCACATAACAGTGAAGCCACAGTGAACCTATCACATAACAGTGAAGCCACAGTGAACCTATCACATAACAGTGAAGCCAAAGAGAACCTATCATATAACAACACTGAAGCCACAATGAACCTATCACATAACAGTGAAGCCACAGTAAACCTATCACATAATAACAGTGAAGCCAATGTGAACCTATCACATAACAGTGAAACCAAAGTGAACCTATCACATAACAGTGAAGCCAAAGAGAACCTATCATATAACAGTGAAGCCAAAGTGAACCTATCTCATAACAGTGAAGCAACAGTGAACCTATCACATAATAACAGTGAAGCCAAAGTGAACCTATCATATAACAGTGAAGCCACAGTGAACCTATCACATTACAGTGAAGCCAATGTGAACCTATCACATAACAGTGAAGCCACAGTGAACCTATCACAAAACAACACTGAAGCCAAAGTGAACCTATCATATAACAGTGAAGCCAAAGTGAACCTATCACATAACAGTGAAGTCAATGTGAACCTATCACATAACATTGAAGCCACAGTGGACCTATCACATTACAGTGAAGCCAATGTGAACCTATCACATAACAGTGAAGCCACAGTGCACCTATCACATAACAACACTGAAGCCACAATGAACCTATGACATAACAGTGGAGCCAAAGTGAACGTATCACATAACAGTGAAGCCACAGTGAACCTATCACATAACAGTGAAGCCACAGTGAACCTATGACATAACAACAGTGAAGCCAAAGTGAACCTATCACTTTAGAACAGTGAAACCAAAGTGAACCAATCACTTTTCAACAGTGAAGCCACAGTAAACCTATCACATAATAACAGTGAAGCCAATGTGAACCTATCACATAACAGTGAAGCCACAGTGAACCTATCACAAAACAACACTGAAGCCAAAGTGAACCTATCATATAACAGTGAAGCCAAAGTGAACCTATCACATAACAGTGAAGTCAATGTGAACCTATCACATAACATTGAAGCCACAGTGGACCTATCACATTACAGTGAAGCCAATGTGAACCTATCACATAACAGTGAAGCCACAGTGAACCTATCACATAACAGTGAAGCCACAGTGAACCTATCACATAACATTGAAGCCACAGTGAACCTATCACATAACAGTGAAGCCACAGTGAACCTATCACATAACAGTGAAGCCAAAGAGAACCTATCATATAACAACACTGAAGCCACAATGAACCTATCACATAACAGTGAAGCCACAGTGAACCTATCACAAAACAGTGAAGCCACAGTGAACCTATCACATAACAGTGAAACCAAAGTGAACCTATCACATAACAGTGAAGCCAAAGAGAACCTATCATATAACAGTGAGGCCAAAGTGAACCTATCTCATAACAGTGAAGCAACAGTGAACCTATCACATAATAACAGTGAAGCCAAAGTGAACCTATCATATAACAGTGAAGCCAAAGTGAACCTATCATATAACAGTGAAGCCAAAGTGAACCTATCATATAACAGTGAAGCCAAAGTGAACCTATCTCATAACAGTGAAGCCACATGAGCTACACATTATGGATTGTATGAAGGAAAAGGACAATCTTCCTTCATGATGGTCTACTCACCTTGGTCTGGATCATTCCACATCTTTGTCTGCGTAGATCACTAACTATGTTAAATATATCAAACTGAAAATAAAATAAAATAGGGAGTTACATTGTGGCCAGATCAAGCAAAGAAACATTTCGAGGAGAGTTGATAACTTTGCTGTTCCTCTCCTGCCTTTTCTCACACAGCTGTTTTGTTGTTGGTATCCTGGTGCTCAGTTTAGGCTACAGTAAGTTGTAAACTGACTTAAACAACAAACAGGAGTAAAATGTTGGTATCCTGGTACTCATTGTAGGCTACAGTAAGTTGCAAACTGACTTAAACAACAAACAGGAGTAAAATGTTGGTATCCTGGTACTCATTGTAGGCTACAGTAAGTTGCAAACTGACTTAAACAACAAACAGGAGTAAAATGTTGGTATCCTGGTACTCATTGTAGGCTACAGTAAGCTGCAAACTGACTTAAACAACAAACAGGAGTAAAATGTTGGTATCCTGGTACTCATTGAAGGCTACAGTAAGTTGCAAACTGACTTAAACAACAAACAGGAGTAAAATGTTGGTATCCTGGTACTCATTGTAGGCTACAGTAAGCTGCAAACTGACTTAAACAACAAACAGGAGTAAAATGTTGGTATCCTGGTACTCATTGTAGGCTACAGTAAGTTGCAAACTGACTTAAACAACAAACAGGAGTAAAATGTTGGTATCCTGGTACTCATTGTAGGCTACAGTAAGTTGTAAACTGACTTAAACAACAAACAGGAGTAAAATGTTGGTATCCTGGTACTCATTGTAGGCTACAGTAAGTTGTAAACTGATTTAAACAACAAACAGGAGTAAAATGTTGGTATCCTGGTACTCATTGTAGGCTACAGTAAGTTGTAAACTGACTTAAACAACAAACAGGAGTAAAATGTTGGTATCCTGGTACTCATTGTAGGCTACAGTAAGTTGCAAACTGACTTAAACAACAAACAGGAGTAAAATGTTGGTATCCTGGTACTCATTGTAGGCTACAGTAAGTTGCAAACTGACTTAAACAACAAACAGGAGTAAAATGTTGGTATCCTGGTACTCATTGTAGGCTACAGTAAGTTGTAAACTGACTTAAACAACAAACAGGAGTAAAATGTTGGTATCCTGGTACTCATTGTAGGCTACAGTAAGTTGCAAACTGACTTAAACAACAAACAGGAGTAAAATGTTGGTATCCTGGTACTCATTGTAGGCTACAGTAAGTTGCAAACTGACTTAAACAACAAACAGGAGTAAAATGTTGGTATCCTGGTACTCATTGTAGGCTACAGTAAGTTGTAAACTGACTTAAACAACAAACAGGAGTAAAATGTTGGTATCCTGGTTCTCAGTTTAGGCTACAGTAAGTTGTAAACTGACTTAAACAACAAACAGGAGTAAAATGTTGGTATCCTGGTACTCAATGTAGGCTACAGTAAGTTGTAAACTGACTTAAACAACAAACAGGAATTAAATGTTGGTATCCTGGTACTCATTGTAGGCTACAGTAAGTTGTAAACTGACTTAAACAACAAACAGGAGTAAAATGTTGGTATCCTGGTTCTCAGTTTAGGCTACAGTAAGTTGTAAACTGACTTAAACAACAAACAGGAGTAAAATGTTGGTATCCTGGTACTCATTGTAGGCTACAGTAAGTTGCAAACTGACTTAAACAACAAACAGGAGTAAAATGTTGGTATCCTGGTTCTCAGTTTAGGCTACAGTAAGTTGTAAACTGACTTAAACAACAAACAGGAGTAAAATGTTGGTATCCTGGTACTCATTGTAGGCTACAGTAAGTTGCAAACTGACTTAAACAACAAACAGGAGTAAAATGTTGGTATCCTGGTACTCATTGTAGGCTACAGTAAGTTGTAAACTGACTTAAACAACAAACAGGAGTAAAATGTTGGTATCCTGGTACTCATTGTAGGCTACAGTAAGTTGTAAACTGATTTAAACAACAAACAGGAGTAAAATGTTGGTATCCTGGTACTCATTGTAGGCTACAGTAAGTTGTAAACTGACTTAAACAACAAACAGGAGTAAAATGTTGGTATCCTGGTACTCGTTGTAGGCTACAGTAAGTTGCAAACTGACTTAAACAACAAACAGGAGTAAAATGTTGGTATCCTGGTACTCATTGTAGGCTACAGTAAGTTGCAAACTGACTTAAACAACAAACAGGAGTAAAATGTTGGTATCCTGGTACTCATTGTAGGCTACATTAAGTTGTAAACTGACTTAAACAACAAACAGGAGTAAAATGTTGGTATCCTGGTACTCATTGTAGGCTACAGTAAGTTGCAAACTGACTTAAACAACAAACAGGAGTAAATGTTGGTATCCTGGTACTCATTGTAGGCTACAGTAAGTTGCAAACTGACTTAAACAACAAACAGGAGTAAAATGTTGGTATCCTGGTACTCATTGTAGGCTACAGTAAGTTGTAAACTGACTTAAACAACAAACAGGAGTAAAATGTTGGTATCCTGGTACTCATTGTAGGCTACAGTAAGTTGCAAACTGACTTAAACAACAAACAGGAGTAAAATGTTGGTATCCTGGTACTCGTTGTAGGCTACAGTAAGTTGTAAACTGACTTAAACAACAAACAGGAGTAAAATGTTGGTATCCTGGTACTCATTGTAGGCTACAGTAAGTTGCAAACTGACTTAAACAACAAACAGGAGTAAAATGTTGGTATCCTGGTACTCATTGTAGGCTACAGTAAGTTGCAAACTGACTTAAACAACAAACAGGAGTAAAATGTTGGTATCAAAGAAATGAGAGGCACACACTTATGTACCTTATATAATTGGTCGTAAGCCAAGTTTCAAGATCAAGTTTGTTTGTTTGTTTGCTTGATGCTTAAAGCAACACTCAGCAATATTCCAGCTGTATGACACGGGTATGTAAAGCACTCAGTCTCGACCAGACTATCCAGTGACTGACATCATCAAAATCTAAAGATCATGTATTTATTTATGTGAGATGTATTTATTCATACGAGAAGTATTTACTTAGGTAAGATGTATTTAATCATGTGAGATGTATTTATTTATGTGAGATGTATTTATTTATGTGAGATGTATCTATTCATGTGAGATGTATATATGTTTATTTAAGACATAAATATTTATGTGAGATGTATTTATTTATGTGAGATGTATTTATTTTGGTGAGATGTATATATTCATGAGATATATATATACTTATGCGAAGTATTTATTTAAGTGAGATGTATATATATTTATGTGAGATGTATTTATGAAGATGAGATATATATATATATATCAATGTTAGATATATTTATTTAGGTAAGATGTATTTATTCATGATATATATATATATGTGTGTGTGAGATGTATGAGAGATGTATTAATGAAGACGAGATATACATTGAAGATGTATTTATTCATGTGATATATATATATGTATATATTTATTTATGTGAGATATATTTATTCATGACATATATTCATGATGTATATATATACATATTCATGTGAGAAGTATTTATTTATTTTTTTAGCATGAATAAATACATCTTACCTAAATAGATACATCTATATATATATATATATATATATTCATGTGAGAAGTATTTATTTATTTTTTTAGCATGAATAAATACATCTTACCTAAATAGATACATCTCTCTCTCTATATATATATATTCATGTGAGAAGTATTTATTTATGGGCAACAAAGACAAAAACATACAACCTTCAAGTTGGACTCTATGTGAGCGAGGGTGGTGTCGATGGTGATGAGGGAGCCAGTGCGTCCGATGCCTGCACTGCAGTGGAGGAGTATGGGACCGCTGTGATGGTAGAGGTGCATCAGCTGGAGATACTGCAACAACAACACTTAACATCAACTCTCATCAACACTCTACAACAACACAACACACTGCAGCAACTACGTTCTAACCTATACAACACACCACATCAACACAACACACTACAGCAACAACGTTCTGACCTATAGAACGCACCACGTCAACACAACACACTGCAGCAACTACGTTCTGACCTATACAACACACCACGTCCACACCACACACTGCAGCAACAACGTTCTGACCTATACAACACAACACAACACACTGCAGCAACTATGTTCTGACCTATACAACACACCACATCAACACAACACACTACAGCAACAACGTTCTGACCTATACAACACAACACAACACACTGCAGCAACTATGTTCTGACCTATACAACACACCACATCAACACAACACACTGCAGCAACAACGTTCTGACCTATACAACACGCCACATCGACACAACACACTGCAGCAACTACGTTCTCACCTATACAACACACCACGTCAACACCACACACTGCAGCAACTACGTTCTGACCCATACAACTCACCACATCAACACAACACACTGCAGCAACTACGTTCTCACCTATACAACACACCACGTCAACACCACACACTGCAGCAACTACGTTCTGACCCATACAACTCACCACGTCAACACAACACACTGCAGCAACTACGTTCTGACCTATACAACACACCACGTCAACACAACACACTGCAGCAACAACGTTCTGACCTATACAACACGCCACATCAACACAACACACTGCAGCAACTACGTTCTCACCTATACAACACACCACGTCAACACCACACACTGCAGCAACTACGTTCTGACCTATACAACTCACCACGTCAACACAACACACTGCAGCAACAACGTTCTGACCTATACAACACACCACTTCAACACAACACACTGCAGCAACTATGTTCTGACCTATACAACACACCACGTCACACAACACACTGCAGCAACAACGTTCTAACGTATACAACTCACCATGTGAACTCAACACACTGCAGCAACAACGTTCTGACCTATACAACACACCACGTCAACAAAACACACTGCAGCAACAACGTTCTAACCTATACAACACACCATGTCAACAAAACACACTGCAGCAACAACGTTCTAACCTATACAACTCACCACGTCAACACAACACACTGCAGCAACTACGTTCTGACCTATACAACACACCATGTCAACAAAACACACTGCAGCAACAACGTTCTAACCTATACAACTCACCACGTCAACAAAACACACTGCAGCAACAACGTTCTAACCTATACAACTCACCACGTCAACACAACACACTGCAGCAACTACGTTCTGACCTATACAACACACCATGTCAACAAAACACACTGCAGCAACAACGTTCTAACCTATACAACTCACCATGTGAACCCAACACACTGCAGCAACAACGTTCTGACCTATACAACTCACCACGTCAACACAACACACTGCAGCAACAACGTTCTGACCTATACAACACACCACGTCAACACAACACACTGCAGCAACAACGTTCTAACCTATACACGCACCACGTCAACACAACACACTGCAGCAACAACGTTCTGACCTATACAACACACCACATGAACACAACACACTGCAGCAACAACGTTCTAACCTATACAACGCACCACGTCAACAAAACACACTACAGCAACAACGTTCTGACCTATACAACACAACACAACACACGGCAGCAACAACGTTCTGACCTATACAACACACCACATGAACACAACACACTGCAGCAACAACGTTCTAACCTATACAACGCACCACGTCAACACAACACACTGCAGCAACAACGTTCTGACCTATACAACACGCCACATCAACACAACACAACTGACTACAGGTTTGATCAGCTGGAGATACTGCAACCACAACACTTAACATCAACTCTCATCAACACTTTACAACAACACAACACACTGCAGCAACAACGTTCTGACCTATACAACACACCACATCAACACAACACACTACAGCAACAACGTTCTGACCTATACAACACAACACAACACACGGCAGCAACAACGTTCTTACCTATACAACACACCACATCAACACAACACACTGCAGCAACAACGTTCTGCCCCATACAACTCACCACATCAACACAACACACTGCAGCAACTATGTTCTGACCTATACAAAACACCACATCAACACAACACACTGCAGCAACAACGTTCTGACCTATACAACACACCACATCAACACAACACACTGCAGCAACTATGTTCTGAGCTATACAACACACCACATCAACACAACACACTACAGCAACAATGTTCTGACCTATACAACACAACACAACACACGGCAGCAACTACGTTCTGACCTATACAACACACCACATCAACACAACACACTGCAGCAACAACGTTCTGCCCCATACAACTCACCACATCAACACAACACACTGCAGCAACTATGTTCTGACCTATACAACACACCACATCAACACAACACACTGCAGCAACAACGTTCTGACCTATACAACTCACCACGTCAACACAACACACTGCAGCAACTACGTTCGCACCTATACAACACACCACGTCAACACCACACACTGCAGCAACTACGTTCTGACCTATACAACTCACCACGTCAACACCACACACTGCAGCAACTACGTTCTGACCTATACAATATGGGAGAGTTGATCAGCTGCCTATACATGTACTGACTGTAGACAGCTGGGAGAGTTGATCAGCTGCCATATACATGTACTGACTATAGACAGCTGGGAGAGTTGATCAGTGGCTATTTACATGTACTGACTATAGACAGCTGGGAGACTTGATCAGCTGCCATATACATGTGCTGACTATAGACAGCTGGGAGAGTTGATCAGCTGCCATATACATGTGCTGACTATAGACAGCTGGGAGAGTTGATCAGCTGCCTATACATGTACTGACTATAGACAGCTGGGAGAGTTGATCAGCTGCCATATACATGTGCTGACTATAGACAGCTGGGAGAGTTGATCAGCTGCCTATACATGTACTGACTATAGACAGCTGGGAGAGTTGATCAGCTGCCATATACATGTACTGACTATAGACAGCTGGGAGAGTTGATCAGCTGCCATATACATGTACTGACTATAGACAGCTGGGAGAGTTGATCAGCTGCCATATACATGTACTGACTATAGACAGCTGGGAGACTTGATCAGCTGCCTATACATGTACTGACTATAGACAGCTGGGAGAGTTGATCAGCTGCCATATACATGTGCTGACTATAGACAGCTGGGAGAGTTGATCAGCTGCCTATACATGTACTGACTATAGACAGCTGGGAGAGTTGATCAGCTGCCATATACATGTGCTGACTATAGACAGCTGGGAGAGTTGATCAGCTGCCTATACATGTAGAGTCACTTTATTCACATTACATTTTCAAATACCATAATCGACGTAATAAGTGCCCTGCTTTAATAAGCGCCCACAGCGATATTTGCAAATATATTGGCAAGTGAACAAACCCAAACAAAACTTATTTATTCGTCTATAATACGCAGTCGTGTGTCATATGCACACTTAATTATGGGCAGTTAAATTCTGGAAAAATATATCTGTCGTATATAAACTTTCAAATTTTTTTTTTCACAAAAATAATATTCTAATAAGAGCCCCCTATTTCAAAGTTTGAGAGCGCCCTGTGTGCTTATTACATTGAATACAGTAGCTAATGGCAACAAACATGGTTCTATGTAGAGGTACTCGTATTCTCACCTGCAGGAGGGGCAGTGCCGTGTCCGGAACCCCGTGGTCTGGCCAAGTCACAAAGTTCAGGTGAGCTACATTCATCATCATCTTTGATTCACACTCATGTATGACAATATGGCGGATATGAACATTGTCCATGACCTGATGGGACTTGAGGCTCACAGTCAGGCTGCAACATAGGAACACATGACGACTTGACAATATTCTAGGACTGTGACATGCCCAGATAGAGCCTCAGTAGTAACCCTGTCACACGCCCAGACTGAGCCTCAGTAGTAACCCCGTCACAAGCCCAGACTGAGCCTCAGTAGTAACCCTGTCACACGCCCAGACTGAGCCTCAGTAGTAACCCCGTCACAAGCCCAGATAGAGCGTCAGTAGTAACCCCGTCACAAGCCCAGACTGAGCCTCAGTAGTAACCCCGTCACACGCCCAGACTGAGCCTCAGTAGTAACCCCGTCACAAGCCCAGACTGAGCCTCAGTAGTAACCCTGTCACACGCCCAGACTGAGCCTCAGTAGTAACCCTGTCACACGCCCAGACTGAGCCTCAGTAGTAACCCCGTCACAAGCCCAGACTGAGCCTCAGTAGTAACCCTGTCACACGCCCAGACTGAGCCTCAGTAGTAACCCTGTCACACGCCCAGACTGAGCCTCAGTAGTAACCCCATCACAAGCCCAGACTGAGCCTCAGTAGTAACCCCGTCACACGCCCAGACTGAGCCTCAGTAGTAACCCCGTCACAAGCCCAGATAGAGCGTCAGTAGTAACCCTGTCACATATCCAGATACAGCCTCAGCAAAAACCCTGTCACATGCCCAGATAGAGCCTCAGTAGTAACCCTGTCACACGCCCAGACTGAGCCTCAGTAGTAACCCCGTCACAAGCCCAGATAGAGCGTCAGTAGTAACCCTGTCACATATCCAGATACAGCCTCAGCAAAAACCCTGTCACATGCCCAGATAGACCCTCAGTAGTAACCCTGTCACAGGCCCAGGTAGTGCCTCAGTAGTAACCCTGTCACACATCCAGATAGAGCCTCAGCAAAAACTCTGTCACACGCCCAGATAGACCCTCAGTAGTAACCCTGTCACACATCCAGATAGACACTGAATAGAAAACTTGTCACACATCAAGAAAGAGCCTCAGCAAAAACCCTGTCACACGCCCAGGTAGAGCCTCAGCAAAAACCCTGTCACACACCCAGACTGAGCCTCAGTAGTAACCCTGTCACACGCCCAGATAGAGCCTCAGTAGTAACCCCGTCACACACCCAGATACAGCCTCAGTAGTAACCCTGTCACACGCTCAGATAGAGCCTCAGTAGTAACCCTGTCGCACACCCAGATACAGACTAAGTAGTAACCCTGTCACACACCCAGACTGAGCCTCAGTAGTAACCCCCTCACAAGCCCAGATACAGCCTCAGTAGTAACCCTGTCACACACCCAGATAGAGCCTCAGTAGTAACCCTGTCACACACCCAGACTGAGCCTCAGTAGTAACCCTGTCACACGCCCAGACTGAGCCTCAGTAGTAACCCCGTCACAAGCCCAGATACAGCCTCAGTAGTAACCCCGTCACAAGCCCAGATACAGCCTCAGCAGTAACCCTGAAACACACCCACATAGAGCCTCAGTAGTAACCCTGTCACACGCCCAGACTGAGCCTCAGTAGTAACCCCGTCACAAGCCCAGACTGAGCCTCAGTAGTAACCCTGTCACAAGCCCAGATACAGCCTCAGTAGTAACCCTGTCACACACCCAGATACAGCCTCAGCAAAAACACTGTCACACACCCAGACTGAGCCTCAGTAGTAACCCCGTCACAAGCCCAGATACAGCCTCAGTAGTAACCCTGTCACACACCCAGATAGAGCCTCAGTAGTAACCCTGTCACACGCTCAGATAGAGCCTCAGTAGTAACCCTGTCGCACACCCAGATACAGACTCAGTAGTAACCCTGTCACACACCCAGACTGAGCCTCAGTAGTAACCCCCTCACAAGCCCAGATACAGCCTCAGTAGTAACCCTGTCACACACCCAGACTGAGCCTCAGTAGTAACCCCGTCACAAGCCCAGATACAACCTCAGTAGTAACCCTGTCACAAGCCCAGATAGAGCCTCAGCAAAAACCATGTCACACACCCAGACTGAGCCTCAGTAGTAACCCTGTCACCCACCCAGACTGAGCCTCAGTAGTAACCCCGTCACAAGTCCAGATACAGGCTCAGTAGTAACCCTGTCACAAGCCCAGATACAGCCTCAGTAGTAACCCTGTCACACACCCAGATAGAGCCTCAGTAGTAACCCTGTCACACACCCAGACTTAGCCTCAGTAGTAACCCCGTCACAAGCCCAGATACAGCCTCAGTAGTAACCCTGTCACACACCCAGATAGAGCCTCAGTAGTAACCCTGTCACACACCCAGACTGAGCCTCAGTAGTAACCCCGTCACAAGCCCAGATACAGCCTCAGTAGTAACCCTGAAACACACCCACATAGAGCCTCAGTAGTAACCCTGTCACACGCCCAGACTGAGCCTCAGTAGTAACCCTGTCACACGCCCTTATACAGCCTCAGCAGTAACCCTGAAACACACCCAGATAGAGCCTCAGTAGTAACCCCATCACAAGCCCAGATACAGCCTCAGCAGTAACCCTGAAACACACCCAGACTGAGCCTCAGTAGTAACCCTGTCACACGCCCAGATACAGCCTCAGCAGTAACCCTGTCACACACCCAGACTGAGCCTCAGTAGTAACCCCGTCACAAGCCCAGATACAGACTCAGCAGTAACCCTGAAACACACCCTGATACAGCCTCAGTAGTAACCCCGTCACACACCCAGATACAACCTCAGTAGTAACCCTGAAACACACCCAGATACAGCCTCAGTAGTAACCCTGTCACACACCCAGATACAGCCTCAGTAGTAACCCTGTCACACACCCAGATACAGCCTCAGTAGTAACCCTGAAACACACCCAGATCGAGCCTCACTAGTAACCATGTGACATGCCAAGATAGAGCGTCAGTAGTAACCCTGTCACACACCCAGATAGACACAGAGTCTACCTGCTTGTCAGAGACACGGAGTCTACCTAACTGTCAGAGACACAGAGTCTTCCAGCATATCAGAGACACGGATTCTCCTTACCTATCAGAGACACAGTCTACCTACCTGTCAGACACACAAAGTCTACCAGCCTGTCAGAGACACAGAGTCCATCTGACTGTCAGATACACAGAGTCTACCTGCCTGTCAGAGACAAGGAGTCTATCAGCCTGTCAGAGACACGGAGTCTACCTACCTGTCAGAGACACAGAGTCAGAGACACATAGTGAGAGACACAGAGTCTACCAGCCTATCAGAGACACATAGTCAGAGACACAGAGTCTACCTACCTGTCAGAGACACAGCGTTTATCAGCCTGTCAGAGACACGGAGTCTACCTACCTGTCAGAGACACAGAGTCTACCTCCCTGTCAGAGACACAGAGTTTACCAGCCTGTCAGAGACATGGATTTCTACCAGCCTGTCAGAGAAACAGAGTCTACCAGCCTGTCAGAGACACAGTCCATCTGCCTGTCAGAGACACAGAGTTTACCAGCCTGTCAGATACATGGATTTCTACCAGCCTGTCAGAGAAACACAGTTTACCAGCCTGTCAGAGACACAGTCTACCTGCCTGTCAGAGACACAGAGTCAGAGACACATAGTGATAGATACAGAGTCTACCAGCCTGTCAGAGACACAGTCTACCAGCCTGTCAGAGACAAAGAGTCTACCAGCCTGTCAGAGACACATAGTGAGAGATACAGAGTCCATCTGCCTGTCAGAGATACAGAGTCCATCTGCCTGTCAGAGACACAGAGTCCATCTGACTGTCAGAGACACAGAGTCTACCAGCCTGTCAGAGACACAGTCTACCTGCCTGTCAGAGACAAGGAGTCTATCAGCCTGTCAGAGACACGGAGTCTACCTACCTGTCAGAGACACAGAGTCAGAGACACATAGTGAGAGACACAGAGTCTACCAGCCTATCAGAGACACATAGTCAGAGACACAGAGTCTACCTACCTGTCAGAGACACAGCGTTTATCAGCCTGTCAGAGACACGGAGTCTACCTACCTGTCAGAGACACAGAGTCAGAGACACATAGTGATAGATACAGAGTCTACCAGCCTGTCAGAGACACAGTCTACCAGCCTGTCAGAGACAAAGAGTCTACCAGCCTGTCAGAGACACATAGTGAGAGATACAGAGTCCATCTGCCTGTCAGAGATACAGAGTCCATCTGCCTGTCAGAGACACAGAGTCCATCTGACTGTCAGAGACACAGAGTCTACCAGCCTGTCAGAGACACAGTCTACCTGCCTGTCAGAGACAAGGAGTCTATCAGCCTGTCAGAGACACGGAGTCTACCTACCTGTCAGAGACACAGAGTCAGAGACACATAGTGAGAGACACAGAGTCTACCAGCCTATCAGAGACACATAGTCAGAGACACAGAGTCTACCTACCTGTCAGAGACACAGCGTTTATCAGCCTGTCAGAGACACAGAGTCAGAGACACATAGTGAGAGACACAGAGTCTACCTCCCTGTCAGAGACACAGAGTTTACCAGCCTGTCAGATACATGGATTTCTACCAGCCTGTCAGAGACACAGTCTACCTGCCTGTCAGAGACACAGAGTCAGAGACACATAGTGATAGATACAGAGTCCATCTGCCTGTCAGAGATACAGAGTCTACCAGCCTGTCAGAGACACAGTCTACCTGCCTGTCAGAGACACAGAGTCAGAGACACATAGTGATAGATACAGAGTCCATCTGCCTGTCAGAGATACAGAGTCTACCAGCCTGTCAGAGACACAGTCTACCAGCCTGTCAGAGACAAAGAGTCTACCAGCCTGTCAGAGACACATAGTGAGAGATACAGAGTCCATCTGCCTGTCAGAGATACAGAGTCCATCTGCCTGTCAGAGACACAGAGTCTACCTGCCTATCAGAGACACGGATTCTCCCTACATGTCAGAGACACAGAGTCTACAAGCCTGTCAGACACGGAGTCTACCTACCTGTCAGAGACACAGAGTCTACCTAGTTGTCAGAGACACAGAGTCTACCAGCCTGTCAGAGACACAGAGTCAGAGACACAGA